ACACACACACACACACACACTCACGCACGTACACACGCACACACATATACACACACACACACATACACACAAACATACAAACACACACACACACACACACACACAAACAAACACACACATGTGGACCGTGGCGTCGGTAGCCCAGTGGTTAGGCTACCGGACTCGTAATCGTGAGATCGCGGGTTCGGGGGTTCGAGCCTCAGCTCGGTCCGACGTTGTGTCCTAGGGAAAGGCACTTTACACGAACTTCCCACTTGGCTCTGTCCTATCGGAGACGGACGTTAAACTAGGATGCGTGGGTGGTTGGCGGGTGCTCTGGTGTGGTTTACTTCTTCTTTCTTATCAAACATGTATCGTCGTTATCTCCCCTCTTTCGTGTTTGTGTTTGTTACCCTTTTGTGACGCTTCTAATCTTCGACACTTATATGACCTTGTTGTGTTGCGAGTGCCGTAAAACACTTACTAAAACAAAACGAAAACTAGGAGGACTTGCCTCTTAAATAACCTAATAGTGTTGATAGGAGCGTTAAACCTATATACCTTTTCACAACTTATATTTTTCACACGTAGCCATCTGATGTTCACAGAAACTTGTGTTTCGCGCGCTCATATGACCTTACGCAGTTGCGAGCGCCGTAAAACCCTATACTACTACTACTACTACTGATGTTCACAGAATGACAGTTTTGCGTCACGATATCTCACGAGGTGTTGTTCACGGACTGAGGGCAGAGCCATGTAGTAGTAGACACCGCTGATTACCACCTCAGGAATCCCCGCGTCCGTTGACCCACCCCATTTCCCAGACAACTTACTACAAAAATAAGCAAACAAATAACAAGAACGATTCAACAGCTGCAGAGCAGTAACAAAACGAAAACAAAACCGTGCTGTGGCGTGGTTTACTTCTTCTTTCCTATCAAACGTCTATTATCTTTGTCTCCCGTCCTTCTTTTTGTGTTTGTTACTCTCTTGTAACTCCTCTAATCATCGGCACTTATGTGACATTGTAATGCTGCAAATGCCGTAAAATTCTTCGTTTTAAAAAGAGAAGAAAACGAAACCACAATAACGAATAACAATTCAGCACGAACTGTTAATCAAACAACAATGAAACAAACACTTGACAACGAAACATTAACAATTTAACAACAATTCAGGACAAAAAAAACCCCCAAATAACAACAACAATTTACAACAGAACAGCGACAAGTTAACAGTACAAGCATCTTGGTCTGTACCCCTCCCCCAGCCTTCAACCTCCCCTCACATTCCCCTAGCCTCATACCTCCCTCCCCCTCCCCC